TTGAAAGTTGTCATTTTTGCAAGTGGCTAGAAGAAAGTTGACATTTCTTACAATTTCCACTTTAATATATTGCTTAATGTGTCCACAGAGCCGTAAAGGTTTTTAATTCAATAATATGAAAATGTTGGAACAACATATCTCAACTCGTTAGAATGAGCTCGACTCCCTATGTCTCAATGCCCTATGTTCCCGTTTCGTACACTTTTGCTCCATCAGTTTGGGTTTTGACAGTTTTATGTACCAAAAATAATCAAAGGTGAGGCCTCATATTTAGGGTTTTATATGTATAGGTTGTACATTTTGTTGTTGATGGAGAGATCTCATATTTATAGAGCTTGAGGGAGAAGGTGAGGACTCAATAGCCATACCTCCACATCCACGATGACATTCACATTACGTTTGCTGTCATTGGCATGGTTCGAATCCTGAATTATAAAAAAGGCATGCAATAGATGTTTCGATCATAATTCTTGTATATTTTATGTGAAATGAGTGGTCGATTTCGAACGATATTGTTCGCTATTGTGCTTGTGCCAAAGTCACGGACTAGCTAGTGGAGTTGGACTAGTTGACTTCTAGTTTCAACTCATCGCGTACGATATTCAATGTTGTAGAATGTTATCATTCTCACTTTTATTGAATTAAATTAACTATTTTACAATTGTTTTATTAATTATTTGCATACAAAATTAGAGAGTGGTGCCATTCCCACTTAATTATGTATGTAATTCACCCACAACTACATGACATACCTAGCTACTTAACGCATTTTCATCAAAAATCTCAATATTGCATTATTGGATAATCTTAATTAATTTGTGAAACAATCACAAATAATAATTAATTAAACTATTCCCAAAACACCATCAGCCTATCACATTGTAATTTCATTCATCGATGCCTCGAAGAGCTCAGGCCATTCATTGCCAATCAAAATTAAGGGGAACTCTTTTTTTAGCAATCCGTCAAAAGTAAATTAAGTGCATGTTTGACAACCATTTTGGTAGGGGGAAAAAAAAGTTTTTAGTAGTAATTTTTAGAATAATGTGTGGTTAAAAAGTAGAGGAAATTTTTTGGTATATTTTTAGAAAAACAGGCAGTAATTTAACAGACTTTACGTTACATTAATTTTTGGCCAACTTAAAAAATACTTTGAAATTAGGGGTCATTTGAAAAACCATACGAAATGTATTTTGAAGGTAAAAAATACTGTACAAAATTAAGCTTCATTTTTTTTAATTAAAAAATGACATACAATATTACTAAAAAGTGACATTATGACACTTTTTAAAGTAATTAAAAAGTGACATACAATTTTACTTTTATTAAAAAAGTTGTTTGTCACTCAAAAGGTGACAAAAAAAAAAAAATGATAAAAAGAAGTAACACCTTATAAAAAGTGAGAGAAATTCAAAAAAGTTACAAACACTCAAAAAGTGATAGAAATTCAAAAAAACTGACAAACATTCAAAAAGGTAGCAAAACACCTGTCAAAACTTTGGAATCAATTCAATAAGTTGATAGAAATTTAAAAAGTGACAACACAAAAAAAAATGAAAAAACACCAATCAAAACCTTGAAATCAATTCCATAATGTGAGAGAAATTAAAAAATGATAAAAACTCAAAAAGTGACAACTCTAAAAAAGAGTGACAAAAATTTAAAAAAGTGACAAAACACTAATCAAAACTTTAGAATCAGTTCAACAAAATGACGAAATTAAAAAAGTGACAAAAACTTTAAAAAGTGACAAACATTACAAAAAGTCACAAAATAGCTTGGTTGCTCTTTCATTGCACTTCCTTCTCCGAAGCTCCAACATCAAACACTAACAAGGTGAGTGTGCTTGAGATGTGCACTAAAATAGAATTGCTAAACACACACACTTTCAACCTCACAATATTTGGAAGTGATCAAACTTCTCTGCCAAACTACAACATTTCTGATCTAATTTTATGTTAACAAATAATAATTCTGTTTAATCTGAGCAACATTGGATTAAATGTTGCATAGGGACTTGTATCATTTTCTCACTCCGATCATCATTTCTATACTCGACAATATGCTTGAGAATCCAAATTTCTTCAGACCAACAAAAAAACCAAAATCAACAATTCAACCAAAGTCGTCACAAATCTATCACAATAATCAAAGATTTCAACTCTATTTCAAAGGTTTTCACTTATTCCTGTAATATTATTTTAGATTCTATCAGATTCTCAAATATAAAGAACACGACGCTGAATTGTTTATCACATTTCGGAATTGAGATTTGAAGGTTATGGGATAAAAAATTTGGCTTATTAGCACAAAACGTCCCTACGTTTGATAGTTAGTGTGCAAAACGTCCCAACGTTTCATTTTTTTGCATTTTTGCCCCTATTTCAACGTTTCAGTGTGGAAAACATCCTTTTCACTATTTTTCAGT